TAAAACTGAATTGAATTGAAGAAGATCTACCTGTCCTTTCTCTTTATAAGGTTCTAATTTGTTTGAAAGTGTACTTTTTGCAACTTTTGCGCATTTAATGGAAACAGCAGTGCGCTACTGAACACAGAGGACTGAAGGGCCTCACCCGCAGTAGGTAGTTGAGTCTGGACAGTGATTCAAGGAAAATATCAGCACCCTTGTTGGAAAACTCGTATCGTCCAGCAATGAACATGAAGAGGGTTTTCTCCAGGTTGAAGTCCAGATGACTGCCAGAAGGATTACAGTCAGGTGTGAAGGGAACAACTTTCTAGTTTAGAATACAGGACTTCTGAAGTAGACTGTTTCAGGCAACATATGAAAGGCCTTCCTCAGTAAGGAGAAAATTAAAAACACTGGGTCTCTAAACTCCACCCACCCATAGAAGTGTCCTCTGACAAACTCCTGGATGCGGGCCTTGCTGGTGGAGTGCAGGTTCTGGAACTCGTGCATGGCCGAGAACTTCTTCACATTCAGACCATTGGGGGTCACCACATCTGTACATCAACACAACAGGTACATCATTGGTAAATTGGTACAGTGGTCTGTTCTATCTGTGCAGTATCAAGGTGCAACAGTGAAAAGCTTCCCTACCTGGTGTCCTGTGAACCATGTGGTTGGCCTCCACAGCAGTGATCTGGGACACTGTGGTGAAGACGTGAGCACAGTGGACCGCCGCTCTCTCCAGGCAGTAACGATGGTAGATCTGCCTCTCACCTGCCTCCTTGTCAATATTGAACTACAACACACACACACACACCACACACACACACACACAGACACACACAGACACACACACACACAGACAGAGGACAGCTCAATACAATTATTTCAACCATTCTCATTTTTAACCTTCTAGTTTAAATGTAAAATCAATTCAATATCAGTATCTGCCCTAAGTCTCATTACTGTGATACAACATTAGTGATATAGTTAGTTAGTTAGTTATAATATAATATTATATAATATAATACAATATAAACTTAATAACAATAGAGCCTCCTAAATGGACCTTTAACGTCCTGTATTTAAAATCCTACTTAAGTTAAAGTACAAAAGGTATTAGCATCAATACTTAAAGTACCAAAAGTAAGTGTTTTACAATAATATACATTATATTGTTGGATTATAATTATTTATGCATCAGTGTGTTCATTCCTTTAATGTTACTGATTTGAATAACTTTATATATGCTGGGTAGCTATTATAATACATCATCATTAATTAGTTGATTAATATTTTGTACTAATCTAAATCTGCAAAGAAACAAAATGTATCAAACAAATGTTGTGATGTCAAAAGTATAATATATCCCTGTGAAATGTAGTGGAGAGGAAGTATAAAGTAGCATATAATGTAAATACTCAAGTAAAGTAAAAGTACCTCAAAACTGCACTTGCATACAGAACTTGAGTAAACGTAGTTACATTCCACCACTGGTAACTCTGGTTAAATTTTACTCCTAACATTTTCATTATGACTGCAAATGTAGCCTTTATCAGTTCCAAATATCAGTTATCGGTTTCCTTGGTTACTAATAATCAGTATCTGTATTGTTCCTGAAAAAACATCAATTGACATTTAAAAAAAAAAAATGAATTGACTATTTAAGGTATACTTCATTTCATCACTTTTCTAATGATGCATACTATTTACTTAATAGAATTAGTATGTAGTATGGAACTGGGACACAGAAAACAACATTTAACTCATTTAAAGGTTTACCAGTTTATTTTTATTGATAATGTTTACTCTTAGGCCTGAACCCTACCCTGGCTGCAGAGCGTGTTACAGTCAACAAATCTAAAAATGCATATTGATATGATTCCATCGATAGAATTCCTTTGCACCAGCTTATGGTCGCAAACACCTTGTCTGTCAATGATACATTCAGTCAGGGAGTGACCTTTAGCTCCATGCTGACCTTTAGGATGCGAGCAGCGGAGAGCCAATTACAAACATTACACTGACCCCTCCGCACACATTCACACAATATCGCTAATGATGCTTTAAGTGGCTGCAAAAGGCTGCGATTTTGGGCCTGAACCTTTGAATGTGAAAATTATTCTGATGGAGCAGAAATATGTGTGTGTGTGTGTGTGTAGGCAAGTTCAGAATTTATAACATGTTAAAGATTTTTTGTTTGTGCCAAATAAAATGTACACTGTTACCCTAGTAACGGTCTGTGTCTGCCACATATATGTAAATAATGTAATTATGATTGCATCAATAAAAGTAAAGAAATATATTCAGAAGTAGTACTGTCTATAGGTTTTTAGAGACATTTTGCCATTTTGTCTATCAAGGAGATATTATAGCTAGGAGAGAAACAGGTTTTATGCAGTGTACACTGGACTAAAAGCATCATGCTAAGTGCTTGTTAAATGGTCAAACAGCATCTGAAATGTCCCAAATGTCTATCTGTCAACTGTGTGTGTATTCACCTTGAAGTACCTGTTACCACAGCAAGACACATGTGGCAGCTTTACCATATTTCCTTAAAAAATCCAGAAATAACCTAAATGGTCAACCCCGCTGACCTCTCACCTTGTCCAGGTTGTTGTAAAAGTCGGCATTCCCGGCGCAGAGGTATCGTCCCAGCAGGGTGGCGTGTGTGGTGAAGACTGTTGCCATGGGGATCTTGCGGGAGCGAGAGAGAATAAGCCCTGGACCCGCCTGCCACTCGTGGAAATGACCAATGACATTGGGTTTGTCTCCCAGCTGATCTGTTAACTGGTAAACAATAGTGAGTCAAAGTTAAAAACAGCAATGTTTAGTAAACTAACTCAAAGCTGTGAAATTGAAAGACAGGGAATTCAATGAAGAGTCGGGTGACCTCTTTGAAGAACCAGGCGATCAGGGAGCCCAGGATGAGCGAGTCGTTGGCCTCTCTGTCGTGGTAGGGCAGGCCGATGCTGCAGGTCTCCCACAGGTCCCCCTTCCAGCGGTCCAGGTTCCAAGCTGCAGAGCTGATGTCAAACAGGATCACGTAGGGGCTGCCCTCAATCAGCCAGCGGCCAAAATGAACCTGCAGCATCAATATTAGCAAAGGAAGCCCACTGAGTGGTACACTGTATAAGAAAACTATTTTCTTCCCACCAGTCCAACATGGTGCACTGTAGGCTTGGTTTTAAATTATGTGTAGATCAGACTTATCTTAGTTTACGTTTCTTTGATGTGTGTTAGAAATGAGCCCTAGATTTCTGTTTCATTTATTCTGTATATCAGTTGCTCATAAGTAGCTGTTTCTGATAAGGTTTTGAACCCTTCAGAGTAGGTAGGGTTGCTCAGGTGGTTGCAGGTTTCCATTCTAATGGACTAATCAGCTGCTTGTATAGCACATATGCTGTACAGCATGTTGGTCACATGGGAGTACGGTATATCATTTGTCTACTCTTCTGGATCATCAGGGTCTCTGGTATATGACTGCCATCTAGTGGCCAATGATTGGTGGATGGAGCTGGACTCCATCAGTCCCCTCAGTCAGAGTGTGGTAAACCTTCACAGTGACAGATGGCAGAAATGCTAAAAGCTATATATATATGGTAAATGGTAAATGGACCTGTACTTGTATAGCGCCTTTCTAGTCTTCCGACCACTCAAAGCGCTTTTACACTACGGTGCACCATTCACCCTTCACACACATTCACACAGCGGGATGGCAAAGTCCATCAAACAGAAAACTAACACATTCATACACATCACACACTGATTGCTATGCATCAGGAGCAATTGGGGTTCAGTATCTTCTCAAGGATACTTCGACACGTGCCAGGAGGAGCCGGGGATCGAACCAACAACCTTCCGATTGGGGGACGACCCGCTCTACCTCTACACTCTGACATTATATATGTAGTATATGTAATATATGTATTAATACATGTAATTGCAATTGTATAAATCATTGTGAAACACCAACTTGATACATGCTCACTGCTGACGAGACTGATTGAAGACTCATTATACAGTAGTAGTTGTTGTAGGAGTGGTTATATTAGCAGTCACAGTAGCTATGATAGCAGTAGTACCACTAATAAAGAAGATTTGTAACTTATATAAGTTGTGCTGTAAGAGCAATATGGGCACGGCATTAAGAGATTTCAAGCCACTGACTATGATTAATTGACGATCCAGACTTTATCATACCTGCTAGCAATTTTTCAAAATGAAGGCAGCAGTCCTTGGTTTCATAAAATATATTAAGACATGAGACACACACACACACCTGGCAGCCATTCTGGATGAGGGCATCCATGGCCTTCCTGATGGCGGGGTTTGGCGGATCGCAGCCCTCCACCTGGGTCTTAAAGTTGTGTTCGAAGTAGGGCCCCATCATGTAGTAGTTCTCCCCCCATTCATCCACCGTGATCTTGGCTTTGGTCTGAATCACTGTGTAGATTCCTCCGACTGCACGTTCACACACAGCGGGAGGAAAAGGCACGTTTTTAGCTTCTATTCTAACATTTAATATTAACGTCATTGACAAAGAAGCTGTTTTACATTTGGAACTGTTCTACTTCAAAGGTCAAAGGTCAGATGGACAAAAGGGCTGACAACTTCAGATATCCAAGAAACAGAAGCAGTGACAAGCTGAACTTTGACTTTAACACACCATAATTTTTGCAAATGTGCAATACATCCATATAAAGCTACTAAGAGACTGATCAAGGCACATGTTCCAAGATAAAAGTTAAAGGTGCCATATGTAAGATTCGGAAGCATTTACGTATTTATTTATTTATTTATTTATTTATTTATTTCTTGATTGCCTGTGGACGGATTTATATGCATTACAAGTCAGATTTTCCAAGAAAATCCAAAAGGATGTAATGTTTGTGCATGCTCCTGTGTGCCTTCTCTTTCCTCTTCCCTACATTGTCAACATTGTGCAACACTAGCTAATGTGAGCTTATAAATGGAGTCCGCTAACAAATGACCAACTCCCACCACCACATGGAGTCCAACACAAAGTCCAAAGTCAAAGCTAACATTGCTGCAAAGCTTGTGAAATGTATTATGATATTGTGATTTTAGCTGGTTAGCATTAGCTTGCTTGTTAACGCAGACTAATTGTTAGCTAGCTTCATCCAGACTCCTGAGGCAGCTGGATAACTTTATTCAGCGTGGCTGGATTGCAACTGCCTGGCTAACCTTAGTGGATATGTTATTTGGCTATCGTTAGCTTGCAAGATTACTTTCCCAGCTAACGTGGTCCATGAAACTAACTTATGTATTATGACAAACGGTGTCACCAACAACAAATGATGTAACGGTACAAAGCTAACGATTGCTTTCTTCTAGCCAAGAGCGTAAGATGTAAGGCAGGGGCATCCAACTAACTGTAAGTTAGCCTAAACTAAGCTGGGTTTAGCAGTGTGCTCTTTGTTTTAACATCTGATTGTGGTCTGATTATCCCTTTAGACTCATTTAAAAGCAAAATCTCTGCTTGTTCTGTGTTAAATAAATGTTTTTTTTAATAAATCTAAATATTCAAATATTAACCTGAGGTCGGTAGGGGCTGTATTGTGTTACACAGACAAACACAGACAGAATTTTCTGTCAAAAACACAGACCGCAACACGTGGAAATGTTTTCAGTCTCTCACTCAGCAACAAAAAGACAAATATTGATATGAAAGACTATCAATGACCAGTGAGCCCATGATGACGTCTGAGCTGCATCAGAGTGCAGGCATTTCATAAGAGCTGAGAGCAGAGAAAACATCACAAAGACTGATAACCTCTGAACCCTTTGACTACATGACCACGTAGTAATATAGACTTATATTCACAACTGTCTTCAAATGTTCTGGTCTCTGTAGAAATGCAGTATTGGACATGCAGTCATGGACATGCAAGTTCACAGGAAAGAACTGCAAATGGCTGTGTTGCAGTAAAGCAACTAGTTATTATTCCATATAGTGAAAGTTTCAGCAAATATGACAAAAACTTAGTTTTATAAAAGTTACCTACTGCAGATTTATTTGACCTTTTTCAGAGCAGCCCTTTTGAAACAGTAGGGTAAACACAGGTGTCACCAATGATACTAATTAAGGTTCTGTTCCATTCAGGTCAAACACAGTCAGGATGCTGCTATTGTGCATGTTGGCTTACTGGAAAGGCTCTGCNNACAGAACCTTAATTAGTATCAATGGTAACACCTGTGTTTACGCTACTATTAATGTCAAAAGGCCTGTTGTGAAAAATGTTGATTGTTTTTATTAATTAAATCTGTGATCACTGTCAACCACACCATTAATGGAAAGATAAAGGGCAACTCTTCCTTAAAGTTTTGTGTCAAACTTGAACTTTTAAGTTTTGAAATAAACTAAAAAACGTTGCTGACCTCTAATCTTTTGAGAGCTAATTATAATGAGATAATTCACTTTTCTTCATTAGAAAACCTTTTTAAAAGTTTTAAAAACACAAAATTCTGTTGTTGTTATTTTACTGTTATTTAAAAAACAGTGAACTGTGAACCTGATTTTCATTTTGATTTCTTATTTGGGTACTTGAACATCAAATAACTGCAATTAAAAATATTAAATTATTAACTATTTTTAATTTTAATTTAACAAAGCCATAGCTGTTCCACTGTCACCACTTATCTGCAGTTTAATGTTTAGCTCTTCAGAGGGAGCAGACTCTGTCTCCACACTTTCCAATATTTGCTCTTTATGGGGCAAAGAGGCCAACTTTTACACAAAATAATACCAGTACTGCCACACAGACAGACAGACAGACAGACAGACAGACAGACAGACAGACCTTGAGTAAGCATTATTGGACGTATTTCATTTGTTGCTTTTAGTAAAATCCTCCGTATGGAATTTATATTCAATTGTTATTATGCAATCAGTGCCAAAGTCAATTAAAAATTATAATAAAGACAATATCCAGATATTTGAAATAAACAGCCTGCCTGTGTATCCTAGAATATGAAACACAATATTTGCATTGTATCATTTGGGCATTACTCTGAAGGCCTTCTGTAGATGAACTCGTGCTTGGTTCAAACATCTCATTTTGTTGGGAAACCAAAGCACCATTACACTTGTGATCTTACCTTTGTTGGTGACCTCCCAGGCCACCTCGAAGAGCAGCAGGTCCTCCACGGGCAGCTCGTCCTCCTCCCAAGCCGGCAGCAGGCCGCTCAGGGACGTCATGGACAAGGAACGCGAAAGCGGCATCTTAGAAGAGGAATAACCCTAACCCTACAAACAGGCCTGCTAGGTGGAGGTCCTGGGCTCAGCAAGGACCGTCCTCCAGAATGCAACAGGACAAGATAAAAGGCACTGACGCCCCGCCTACTGAGGCTAACCTCCAGCGAGAAGGAGGGGACGTTTACCTTCCACAAACACACACACACACAGATATCAGGGGAAAGGGTTGGTGGACTTGTGTGTGATGAACTGAATGTGATTGTGAAATGTATGAATGAAAGCAGGGCTGTCCACTAGGAGAGGGGGAAACACTCCCACTGAGAGAATATTCACAAAGGATGTCGCCATGGTGATGTATCCAATCAAGAATGTAAGCATCATTAATGTAGTGTGGACTACTTTGATTTTGTGCTCTTTAAAAATTGATTGTTGTCAATTATGTAGAAAAGGCAGGTGCAGAGCAAACCAAAATGTCCCAGTGCACACGAGGATAGGAATGACCATTTTATTACATTACAAAAAAGGAGCGAACTACGCACACAGGTTGCTATGGCACTCGATGCATAATTGCAAATGGCATATTGACACATGTGCCCAAAAAGCGGGGCAGCTGTGCGCTCAGGGAGGCAAAGAGCGCGGATCAATCCACTAATCACGAAGGTTAAGCATCAGAAATATGAGATCCATAGAGAGCAAATCCATCCTGGTAGTGGGTCAAAGTAGCGAGGAAAGCACGCAAAACATGAACTCCAAATTGACTCCCCCGATGCTGTGGCATTCAGTAGGAATGAGGATGTGTATGGAAATGAGCAGATACTCATAGAGTACGAGTCCACTTGGACCATCAGGGTGCTGTCTCTTAAATAGAGGGTCAGGTACTGATTATGGACAGAAGAGTCCAAACGAGGTTCACATTTCCTTGTATCCTGGTCATGCACTGGGATATTTCTCATGTAGTTGTATGATTAACAGGGACGACGGTTTATTGATGAACAGAGAACAGATTGCTGAAGAACTGGAAGGGCGACGGTGTAAGACTGAAAAGGGTGTCAGTTATATCTTTGCTTCATCGAGGTTCCTTGTTTCCCACCGTAAAGAGTCATAATACCAGGGTAAGTATATAAGTATTACAGGACTCAAATGTTTGGCGGTCACGCATGTGTGTATTTGGTGTTTTCGTTCAATAGACTGAGCGCGCTATTTCGACAGAGAAACCGAATAAACGAAAATAACAGTGTAGAGTCGCGTAAACACCAAGATGGAAAACCGCCAAGGGTCAGTGTATTTAACACCAAACTGGGGCTAAAATAGATTTGGCGGAACCTGTTGGTCCTTGTGGGCCCTCTGCAGTCTGCTCAGTGGTCAGACTTAAATTCAATTCGCAACTTCAATTCAAATCAATTTTATGTATAAGCGCCAGATAAATGCAAATAGAACAGGAAGTGTATCTCAGGACACTTTCAAAATAGAGCCAGGTCGTAGGAACCAGGGGAACTCCTTATGAACAGTTACAGAGACCCAACAGGTACCAGCCATGGAGGCAAAGGGACACTGGGCCCGACGGGGGCCCCAAGCGAAAAAACTGGCCTTGTTAACGGCAGAAGACCTCGACACAGACCCTTCGCGCTCGTAGAGGTGGGTGGCGGATCATACTGCCTTAAAGACAGGTTTGTGACGTGCCGAGCTCCCAAGTAGTAGCTGGTCAGGTTCAGGAGACTGGGTGCAGACTATACAGAGAATGTAGTAGTTGATACCGAATAACCCAGTGAAGCATTTCACAATTCTCGATACCAGGGAATGCAAAGTACCGACGGTAAAGAATGGCCCCAATGTCAGTTATGTTTGTCCCCTGATCCCCGTTTAATACTCTGCTAATGACGAGAATCCTGATCAATACGTTATTTCTAATAGATACAGGTGAATAGCTCTGCATTGCAATGAAGTACACATAAATGCCTGCACAAGTGTTCCTAAATGTTTTATAGCGATAGATTTGGGGCATTGCTAATATTTGATTTATATAGTAATATTCGTTATACCGTCACAAATAACTAATAACGGAAAAGTTTCACCGAGTTATATCGCACCTGTAAGCGAGGCTGTGTTCTTCTTCCCTGTGGGCATCCTTAAGGAAAGAGCCAGAATATTATGGTATATACGTTTCTACGTGCTACAGTCGAGGTCTGGAAGAATTGCTATCCCTCCGCCCAGACCGATTGGGTACCTGCAGTACGTAGCTCAGAAAAAACTGTTTTCGAGAATCTTTTGAAGCTTGGTACCAGAGAGTAGTTAGTTCTCGGTGACAGATCCCTGGTGCCTCAGCGTGTACTTTTAAGTAGTGCTAAGCTCGTAGAATCGAAGGACACTTGTGTTTATATGTGAGTGAAGGTTTGAAGAAGTGAGTGTTTGCGTAGAAGGCAAGCATGCCTTTAAGCGGCAGCTTGTAGGAGGCATTAGTGGAGAACTCACATGTGTCTGCGTCTTAAATCTGTGGCAGATTTTGATGCTTCCAGTGTCTTTAAGTCCATGACTGCTGATTTCTGATATTGTCGTTATTTAAGAGGGGAGACTTCGGCAGATTGTTTGACCTAGAGTCTTTGATTCTGAGAGTCCCGAGTAGCTGTCGATAGAAGAAGCAACCGACAGCGAATGTGCGTTCTAGCAAGAAATGCGAATCCTGCAGCTAATGCCAGCAGAGCTCCAGTTAGTTAGTAATCACTTCTTGGGAGGCATCAGACTACGAAAGATGCTTTGTGGCTACCTCTTAACCCAGACGATAGTAATAGTACAAATGTCTGTGGCAACAGTGATTCAGGGCCCGTATGTCACGTGACCAACAACATGCCTTTTCAACTCAGTGACCGTCTGTGCAGAAACCGTACAAAAACAGGTACTGTTGCCGTGAAACCTGTGTTTTGCCACCGCGCCTCGCTTCGAACCGGACTCCACGCCGCCAAATATCCGACCACCAGGAGATAATGCGGCCTTCCGACCGAAAAAAAAGTTTATTTCCCCTCATCGTTTTGAATTACATGTTGTGTCTGTTAGAGCAGGAGCAAAGGCATCTTTAGGAAAGTGCCCGCCCGAGAACGAAGTGTAGTCATACTGAACTGGGAGGCTCCCTGGCATTCGCAGCGTGCGGCCAGGGAATCTCAGGGTGGTGGGCTGGCTCGAGAGACAACGTTCCTGGTCGTCTTTTTCCTATCGACAGTAAAGCTCAGGGAGCCTCTAGTGATCAAGACCTAGGGGTAAAGAAATCTGCCGAAGTTCCCTTTAAGCTGTGTTGCTCCAGAGGGGATGAAAGACTATGTCAGGATATATGAGGCTTTAAATGTAGTCTTCGCGTGCTTTTGGGGTATAATAACCGTGTGGATGTGCAGAGAACAGATTGAATAATGGCGTGGAGGGACTTAGGGCCCAGCTCAGGAAGTTCAGAGCGTCTGCTGGGCCGTCTTGAGGTGTGTCTTCTGGATCGTCCTTTTAGGTCCTGGGACATTGTGGATGACCAAAAACCTGAAGGGTGTGTCTATAGCAGACACTCGATGTTGGTGGAAGTGCGACTGTCATGGCCTCCGCAACAATTTTGAGTGGTGTCGATGAGCTCCAGGTAGTTCGTGGACGTAACAGGAGGGCCAGCGTGTTTAACCGCAACCGGGTCGGTTTGAATGGTGGTTAAGGTTTCAAATTGTGGTAACTGGAGTAACAAATGATTTTTATTGGGGAAATTCACCACTCGCTCCAACTCTCCTAGATGGAAGACGAATAGAGAAGAACAGCAATCGACGAAGTGAGGTGAGCGAAGAGAGCGAGACCGCCATCGTTCCGTCTCCAGAATCGTCCGAGTCTTCTTTTAAGTTACAAATTTTCCAAAATTGCAATGGTATGCAAAAAAAAAAAACATAAAGTCCCTAGTGTAACATGTTCAGTTTCGTGTTCATGCGTTGATGTAATGTTAAAGAGTTCGGGAAATCCCACTAATACAGTGTGCTGTAATCTCCCACATCAGTGTAGTAACATTTTCCAGCACAACACATTCACAGAGAACTAATCGTCTTTACGAAGAATAACATAGAACAAAAATAAATAAGTCGTCGGTGTTCTGTTAAAGTGAATTAATATCAAAAGGATGAGGAATCATGGTTTTGTAATCTATTTGTATAATGAGTATGTGTGTTTTTAACTTCAGAAAGTCCAGAATCCAAATTACTTAAGATGTACATGAATGTGAGATCATGGAAACCCTCTTTGGCTGTAAATGAGTATGTTAAGAGTGACTTTAGGAGTCAGGAAGCATGAAAACACCGCAGTACAGGCATAGGATACTGTTCAACTTTATGAAGAAAGTAAGATTGTTGTGAAACACCAGAACGAGACACCCTAACGTGCTGTCTGTATGACTGTCTAGGAAGCAGATCAGCTGTGTAGAGCCTTTATACACAAGAACTATCTGTCGCTCGGTTAACCAGTAACAATCATCCATGAACATGGTCAGGATATCTGTAAAAAACCTAAAAATGAAAGCGGGTTAGCAGGGGGAGGGGGGCACGCAAGCACCAGAATCTACACAAGACAGGTGCAGCAGACACCCTGCTTAAGCTGGGCCCTTAGCGGCCGTTTGTTAAAAAGAACCCTGCTTTCGACGGTTATTTAGCTCGCGCTTCACACAAGGTCTAGAAAAACCAAGGTACTAAACTGGAAACCGACAGAATCACGGAAGTGACCCGTGAGAGGTGCAAAGAGACAAACCGCCATCCCTTCCCTGATTCAGGTAGGGTATGAAGCGATGTATAAGAATGTGATGACTGGTTGGACACACGGTAAGGTGATGGAAATCGTATGGCGATAGTGATGGTGTTTTCAGTCTTGCTGTCCAGGTGAGCGTATGGACTGTAGTGTAGATGTGTCTCTTCATGGCGTCTCATCGCCACAGAGGTGAGGTGGTACGACGACGAGCTAGTAAGGGTGAGTCCGGGCGATGGATCCGGTGGAATGGGTGGAGTATAGTAGAGAGACAGCTGTAGGTGACACTGGTAGCTGGGGCGGATCCAACTGCACCATCCCAGGTGGGCGTTGAGTG